AAGAGAAACAGCTCCTGTTACATGACAATGTTAGGTTAGAATAAAGAGAAACAGCTCCTGTTACATGACAATGTTAGGTTAGAATAAAGAGAAACAGCTCCTGTTACATGACAATGTTAGGTTAGAATAAAGAGAAACAGCTCCTGTTACATGACAATGTTAGGTTAGAATAAAGAGAAACAGCTCCTGTTACATGACAATGTTAGGTTAGAATAAAGAGAAACAGCTCCTGTTACATGACGTTAGGTTAGAATAAAGAGAAACAGCTCCTGTTACATGACGTTAGGTTAGAATAAAGAGAAACAACTCCTGTTACATGACAATGTTAGGTTAGAATAAAGAGAAACAGCTCCTGTTACATGACGTTAGGTTAGAATAAAGAGAAACAGCTCCTGTTACATGACAACGTTAGGTTAGAATAAAGAGAAACAGCTCCTGTTACATGACAACGTTAGGTTAGAATAAAGAGAAACAGCTCCTGTTACATGACAATGTTAGGTTAGAATAAAGAGAAACAACTCCTGTTACATGACAACGTTAGGTTAGAATAAAGAGAAACAACTCCTGTTACATGACAACGTTAGGTTAGAATAAAGAGAAACAACTCCTGTTACATGACAACGTTAGGTTAGAATAAAGAGAAACAACTCCTGTTACATGACAACGTTAGGTTAGAATAAAGAGAAACAACTCCTGTTACATGACAACGTTAGGTTAGAATAAAGAGAAACAACTCCTGTTACATGACAACGTTAGGTTAGAATAAAGAGAAACAACTCCTGTTACATGACGTTAGGTTAGAATAAAGAGAAACAACTCCTGTTACATGACAACGTTAGGTTAGAATAAAGAGAAACAACTCCTGTTACATGACGTTAGGTTAGAATAAAGAGAAACAACTCCTGTTACATGACAACGTTAGGTTAGAATAAAGAGAAACAACTCCTGTTACATGACGTTAGGTTAGAATAAAGAGAAACAACTCCTGTTACATGACAACGTTAGGTTAGAATAAAGAGAAACAACTCCTGTTACATGACGTTAGGTTAGAATAAAGAGAAACAGCTCCTGTTACATGACAATGTTAGGTTAGAATAAAGAGAAACAACTCCTGTTACATGACAACGTTAGGTTAGAATAAAGAGAAACAACTCCTGTTACATGACAACGTTAGGTTAGAATAAAGAGAAACAACTCCTGTTACATGACAACGTTAGGTTAGAATAAAGAGAAACAACTCCTGTTACATGACAACGTTAGGTTAGAATAAAGAGAAACAACTCCTGTTACATGACGTTAGGTTAGAATTAAGAGAAACAACTCCTGTTACATGACGTTAGGTTAGAATAAAGAGAAACAGCTCCTGTTACATGACAATGTTAGGTTAGAATAAAGAGAAACAACTCCTGTTACATGACAACGTTAGGTTAGAATTAAGAGAAACAGCTCCTGTTACATGACGTTAGGTTAGAATAAAGAGAAACAACTCCTGTTACATGACAATGTTAGGTTAGAATAAAGAGAAACAACTCCTGTTACATGACGTTAGGTTACAATTAAGAGAAACAACTCCTGTTACATGACGTTAGGTTAGAATAAAGAGAAACAGCTCCTGTTACATGACAATGTTAGGTTAGAATAAAGAGAAACAGCTCCTGTTACATGACAACGTTAGGTTAGAATAAAGAGAAACAACTCCTGTTACATGACAACGTTAGGTTAGAATTAAGAGAAACAGCTCCTGTTACATGACGTTAGGTTAGAATAAAGAGAAACAACTCCTGTTACATGACAATGTTAGGTTAGAATAAAGAGAAACAACTCCTGTTACATGACGTTAGGTTACAATTAAGAGAAACAACTCCTGTTACATGACGTTAGGTTAGAATAAAGAGAAACAGCTCCTGTTACATGACAATGTTAGGTTAGAATAAAGAGAAACAGCTCCTGTTACATGACAACGTTAGGTTAGAATAAAGAGAAACAACTCCTGTTACATGACAACGTTAGGTTAGAATAATAATAATAATAACAATATATAACATTTATAGAGCGCATTTCCAAAAAAAGTAGCTCAATGCGCTTTACATTGGAATACCCATTTTTCAAAAACCTTTCTTACTACTTCCTTTCTTCTCAAGCAATATACATTAATGCACACACACACAAACACACATACACACACACACACACACACACACACATACACACACACACACACACACACACACACACACACACACACACACACACACAGACTATTTTCATCCAGACATAGGAAAAGAACAAATATAATGAAAGATAACGTTAAAAGCTTATGAAGGATAGGCCTGTAGGAACAGAAAATGTTTAAGATGTCTTTTGAAGCTATCAAGTGTTCTTATTTGTCTTAGTTTCATGGGTAATCTGTTCCACATAAATGGACCAAGATATGAGAAATATCTCTCTCCATATGATTTGTATGATTTTACAGGTGTCACAAGTAGGGAATAAAGAGAAACAGCTGTAGAACTGTGAGAAAGGACAGGACAAAAGGATATAGAAGTAGAAATAGGACTAACAAAGTGGCGATGGATGGGACACACCCTCAGAAAGCCCAGCGGAAACATCACAAGACAGTCGCTGCAGTGGAACCCACAAGGAGCACGAGGCAGGGGTAGGCCACGGGAAACATGGAGGAGATGTGTGGAAAGGGACATGAGAGAGATGAAGCTCACTTGGAACGAGCTAGGAAGGATGGCCCAGGACAAAGACAAAATAAATGGAAGAAGCTTGTAAGTGGCCCATACCGTGCCAGGGGAGAAAGGCAGTGATGGTGAAAGGGAAACAACTCCTCAGGAGATTCTGCACTAAAAATCAGACGGAGACGCCAAGTTTCCTTCATCATATGCTCCAATTCATTACTGACTTGTGAAGAGTTTTTCCTCAAAATACATCAAGACATGCCCCACATTTTGGCCATTTTTTCCTATATGAAGGTCCTCCAACATTTGGCAAACAAAAATCACAATAACTTTTTTATTTATCAATGGATTTTTACAATTTAAAAACCACAGTTCTTAGAATTTACTCTAGTTTCATTTAAGCCCATTTTTAAGCAATTTGGATGAAAATTTAATTTTTCATTGTCATTGCTAACTCCTGTACACATGACAATGGTTCTATAGTGCTGGAAAAGAACATGATAGACAGACAGAAACAGAGGGAGAGGAAAGTAATTGGAAGCAGGTTTCAGCCGTTTAAGGTACCTGTTTTTTACATCCCCTTCAGCACAATTAGGGCCGTGGCTAGCTTACTGGTTAGGCTACTGGGCCTGTAATCAAGTGATCGTGGGTTCGGGGATTCCAGCCTCAGTTCGGTACAATGTTGTGTCCTTGGGTAAGGCACTTTATACACGGATTGCTTATTTGGCTCGGTCTTTTCGGAGATGGACGTTAATAGATAAACTAGGTGGTCTTGCCTTTTAAATAACAATAACAGCGTTGATAGGGGCGTTAAACCTGTACCACATTTTATAGACCACATCAACACAGTTAAGGTCATTTAACAATAATGATAAATGACATTTATATAGCGCTCAACCCCGATTAAAGTACCCTAATCCTAACAGTCAAAACCAGCACTGCTTGAAGTTCGTGTTTTAGTGGAGGGTTTACGGCGCTCGCAACTGCATAAGGTCATATGAGCGCCAAGGGGTGGATATCAACAGAGAAGTCCTTACAGGGAATCAGACTTACTCTGCTCACCTCTCTAGCCTCAACAGCACAAAGTCTGCTTCGACTATCAAGGCACCCCGGAAATAGCGGGTCACAAGAGTGTGACAAACATACAAAAGAAGTAGAGGAAATGACAATAGTAAGGATTAGGAAAGAAAAAGCAGCAGTTCCCTGTTGCAGATCAGGCACAGTTATGAGCATGGCATTGATGAATCAGCCCATTTACAATTCTACTGTGCATAAACAAGAAATGTCCCCCCTTTGGGAATGGCCTAAAGACACTACAGTCAGTGGCACTGCCCTGGGGGGTACTGCTTGAACAAGTTCACCAACTGGCAGAACCATGAAGGTTTGTGTGTTTGTTTGAGGACAGAAAAGCACATCTCCACAATAATGGTCATTTAGTTAGTTTTAGTAAGTGTTTTACGGCACTTACAACACAATAAGGTCATGTAGGTGCCCAAGAATAGATGTGTAACAAGAGAGTAACAAACACAAAAAAGAAGGAGGAGAGATTTAATAAGGACGATATATGTTTGATAGGAAAGAAGGAGCAAACCACACCAGAGCACCCGCCAACCACCCACGGTCATTTAGTGCAGGGAAAAAGTAAGACAGACAGAAACAACAGAGGGAAAATAAAGATGCAGGGCCTACCAGTAGCAGCCTCCAACCACCCGCAAACCACTGAGGCTAGCATGTGCGACAGGCAAGGTAGAGTCATCATAATATCCACTGAAATACTCACCCGGATGGAAGAAAACGGATCCGATCCACAAACCTCCCAAAGAAGGAGGATAAAACTCCAGCGTGTTCTGCCTGTGGACAAAAACATAGCAAAAAGGTAAAGGAAACATAACGAGGCTGCTCCCTAAACTATACACAAGAACATAACGAGGCTGCTCCCTAAACTATACACAAGAACATAACGAGGCTGCTCCCTAAACTATACACAAGAACATAACGAGGCTGCTCCCTAAACTATACACAAGAACATAACGAGGCTGCTCCCTAAACTATACACAAGAACATAACGAGGCTGCTCCCTAAACTATACACAAGAACATAACGAGGCTGCTCCCTAAACTATACACAAGAACATAACGAGGCTGCTCCCTAAACTATACACATGAACATAACGAGGCTGCTCTCTAAACTATACACAAGAACATAACGAGGCTGCTCCCTAAACTATACACAAGAACATAACGAGGCTGCTCCCTAAACTATACACAAGAACATAACGAGGCTGCTCCCTAAACTATACACAAGAACATAACGAGGCTGCTCCCTAAACTATACACAAGAACATAACGAGGCTGCTCCCTAAACTATACACATGAACATAACGAGGCTGCTCCCTAAACTATACACAAGAACATAATGAGGCTGCTCCCTAAACTATACACAAGAACATAACGAGGCTGCTCCCTAAACTATACACAAGAACATAACGAGGCTGCTCCCTAAACTATACACAAGAACATAACGAGGCTGCTCCCTAAACTATACACAAGAACATAACGAGGCTGCTCCCTAAACTATACACAAGAACATAGCGAGGCTGCCCCCTAAACTATACACAAGAACATAACTGAAACATAGCGAGGCTGCCCCCTAAACTATACACAAGAACATAGCGAGGCTGCTCCCTAAACTATACACAAGAACATAACTGAAACATAGCGAGGCTGCCCCCTAAACTATACACAAGAACATAGCGAGGCTGCTCCCTAAACTATACACAAGAACATAACTGAAACATAGCGAGGCTGCCCCCTAAACTATACACAAGAACATAGCGAGGCTGCTCCCTAAACTATACACAAGAACATAACCTGCTTCAGTTGCTTTACCTGGGGCCAGGGAATTCTGGAGATAGTTATTATTATCATTATAATAATAATAATAATAATAATAATAATAATAATAATAATAATAATAATAATAATTACAATAATAATAATAATAATAATAATAATAATGACAATAGTAATAATCATAATCATAACAATGATAATAATAATAATAATAATAATAGATATCATTTGTAGAGCACAAATCTGTGCTGTGCAATCTATAAATATTCTAGGCAATTTAATCCTGAGCAAAATCAGAAAAGCAGAAGAGACAAAAAGTAATGGAGAAAACAACACATGATACAAAGATAGGGTCGGTGGAAACACCTCACCACGAGAACTCCCTCACCACGAGAACTCCCTCACCATGAGAACTCTCTCACCACGAGAACTCCCTCACCACGAGAACTCTCTCACCACGAGAACTCCCTCACCATGAGAACTCCCTCGTCAGGGACCAAGTGTCCCACAAAGTTCCCATCATGCAGTCTGTTCTCGCAACACTTTGTCGTCCGTATGACGGCAGCACGTTTAGTTTTAGTAAGAGTTTTACGACACTTGCAACACAATAAGGTCATACAAGTGCCGAAGATTAAAGGTGTTACAAGAGAGTAACAAACACAAAAAAGAAGGAGGAGAGATCAGGACGCTAGAGGTTTGATAGGAAAGAAGGAGTAAACCACACCAGAGCACCCGCCAACCACCCACTCGGTAGCACGAAAAGCAAACATTTTTCACTTGATTGAAGACTTTGACAGTTCATATAATTCTGGCTATGACATAATTTCAGACCATGGGGATCCTGATTTCAATGTAAATGAGCATCAAAGCACTGATTCTGATGGGGAATGCTCTAGATCTAGACTAGGCCTTCAAATGCAAAATTTCCTCTTTGTCTGGAGCCGTTTTTCCACACTGAAGAGGATTACACAGCCAACGCATAAGGATTACCATATCAATTACCTGCTTATTTATGAGTTTGAACTTTGTATTCATTTTGAAACATATATATACACTTTATACAAAACACAACAAAAGACACACACAAGTTTGATTTTTTATTTTTTTTGGCGGGGGGGGGGGGGGCTTTTTGTACACATAGGACATTATGACAAAAAAATTTGGGGAACAGCAAATTTTAGCACATGTTCTAAAAAACTATAAAAGATTTGTCTTTCTGTTTCTGAGTCTTATTGGGCATGTATAGATCTGTTATGTGTGTAAAAATGGTGGTTGTGTATGTCTTTGGGAAGGGTGTTGTTTGAAATATTGAAATGCCCCCAAATTTAAACATTTCGGTGAAGTCAACCAAAGAAAAGATCAAATCTAAGATTATAGTTCAGGTTAAAAAATTATTTTTTTTAAATAACTAAAACAACACACAAAAAATGTGAGACCACTTACTGCGCTCTGAATGTTCGCTCAAACTCAGGATTTCCTTCGATGGCTGGTGGGGTCACTTTGTGCTTCATGCGAGAGGCTCCGACAGCTCTCAGGAAACGAGCTGGGGACACGGAACAAAGGCATGGAGACAATGACACCTCTCAAGCCCTCACAGTTTTAGTAAGTGTTTTACGGCACACTTGCAACACAATAAGGTCATATAAGTACCGAAGATTAGAAGTGTTACAAGAGAGTAACAAATACAAAAAAGAAGGAAAGATAAGGACGATAGATATTTGATAGGAAAGGAGGAGCAAACCACACCAGACCACCCGCCAACCACCCACGAGGAGAGAAAAGGACGATGATGAACGTTTGATAGGAAAGAAGGAGCAAACCACACAAGACCACCCGCCAACCACCCACGAGGAAAAAAAAGGACGATGATGAATGTTTGATAGGAAAGGAAGAGCACCCTTTAACCACCCTCATTAATGGAAAGAATGTTTGATAGGAAAGGAAGAGCACCCTTTAACCACCCTCATTAATGGAAAGAATGTTTGATAGGAAAGGAAGAGCACCCTTTAACCACCCTCATTAATGGAAAGAATGTTTGATAGGAAAGGAAGAGCACCCTTTAACCACCCTCATTAATGGACAGACAATGTCGTCAAGGGGAAGGGCAGAGACTGAGGCGTAAAGCTGGTTCCAGATGGGTGACCGTAAAGATGGTTCCAGATGGGTGACCGTAAAGATGGTTCCAGATGGGAACAGGATAGACTGAGCCCACGTGACCGTAAAGATGGTTCCAGATGGGAACAGGATAGACTGAGCCCACGTGACCGTAAAGATGGTTCCAGATGGGAACAGGATAGACTGAGCCCACGTATCGGAAAAATGGGTTTCAATGTGACATGTTAGACTGAGTACTTATTATCGTTAAAATGTTCCAGATGGGAAAAGGAAAAACTTAACCCA